AACATGATGACAAAGAAATAGAAGAATGCTTGTCACAATTCAGATGACATAAAGCTAAAAAAGGGATTAGCAAAAAACAGATATGGCAGAATCAAGATGCTGAGCGAGATTTATCTGCGATAAGTCCAAAATATAATCACTCAAATATTTATTAAATAACAGGGAGGACTCTTAATAGATGATTTTTAGGGTTTGGTTCCCGCCCCCCCCCCAAGTACAATCGTATTTTTAAAAGGTGACCATTATTTAATCCTCAGAAGGTTATTAGTATAAGCCAGTGTGCAGACATATCAAATGTATGTGGGGTATTATTTGTAACATTTTAAAAAGAGAAGATTGTAGATAATATTAACTCATCAAATTTAGAGGAATAAGACAGTAGCTGTACGTTTACCAGCTTCCCAATGATAAGCATGGGATGTCTGATCAGAATGTCACAGTCTCATTTCCCACAGCAAGGCTGGCCTTGGAGCTGGACCGAGGGCCCACTTGCTGCTTCTTGGCTGGGACTGGAATCACTGGGACTTTGGGCCCTGCCTGTTTGGGGCTGATGACCTTAGTGTGGTGCTGGGGTGGGAGGTGGCCTCCTGGTGTTGGCTGTTGTCCTGCTTTTTCTTCTTTTGGAAATAAATCTGGGGTCCACTGGAGTGGAGGGCTTGTGGGGAGTGGCAGACAGGGTTGAATGTCCAAGTTTGGAAAAGGAGGGTTTGGGCTCTTTACCAGACCTGGCTCTATTTTTCAATGTTTAAAAACAAAACAAAGTCCCAACGTAGGAAGCAGCAGAAGAAGCAGGAGGTGGAGGAGGAGGAAGAGGAGAAGGAGACTGATCGTGGTAGCAGAGAAGAATCATTGAACAGATTGGCCGTGTTTAGTTTGCCTGGAGATATGGAGGTAATCATAATACCCTTCCTGTGTCCTAGAGGAAGTTGGAGACAATGAAGTGTTCAGTAGTGCTCCACATTAGAAGTAGCAAACTCAATGTCCACAAGGGGAGAAGCAAGTGATATGCACACAACTGCCATTGTTCTTGTCAGGTGCCAGCAAGTTCGTTCCAATTCCCAGTGACCCTGTGGACGACAGAATGAACCACTGCTCAATCTGCACCATCCTCACAATTGTTGCTATGTGTGAGCCCATTGTTGCAGCCACTCCGTCAATCCCCCTCGTTGACGGTCTTCGTTTTCACGGACCTTCTACTTTACTAAATACGGTGTCCTTTTTCTAGACACTGGTCTTTCCTGACAACAGGTCCAAAGTATACGAAACAAAGTCTGGCCATCCTTGTTTCTAAGGAGCATTCTGGTTGTACTTCTTTCAAGATGGATTCATTTGTTCTGGCAGTCAATGGTATTTTCAATATTCTTTGCCAGCACCATAATGTAAGTACATCTATTTTTTTAAAAAAAATCATTTTATTGGAGGCTCGTACAGCTCTTATCACAATCCATACATATATCCACTGTGTCAAGCGCATTTATACATTTGTTGCCATCATCATTTTCAAAACATTTTCTTTCTACTTGAGCCCTTGGTATTGGCTCCTCATTTTTTCCCACCCTCCTCCCCCCTCCCTCCCGGACCCTTGATAATTTATAAATTATTATTACTTTTTCATGTCTTACACTGACCGATGTCTCCCTTCACCCATTTTTTTGTTGTCTGTCCCCCTGGGAAGGAGTTATATGTAGATCATTGTGATCAGTTCCCTCTTTCTCCTCCTACCTTTCCCTTCCCCTCCTGGTATCACTACTCTCATTATTGGTCCTGAGGGGTTTATGTGTCCTGGATTTCCTGTGTTTCCAACTCTTATCTGTACCTGTGTACATGCTCTGGTCTAGCCAGATTTGTATGGTAGAATTGGGATCATGATAGTGTGTGTGTCGGGGAGAGGGGGAGAGTATTAAAGAACTAGAGAAAAGTTGTATGTTTCATCAGTGTTATACTGCGCCCTGACTGGCTCGTCTCTTCCTGTGACCCTTCTGTAAGGGGATGTCCAATTATCTACATATGGGCTTTGGGTCCCCACTCCGCACTCCTCCTGATTCACAGTAATATGATTTTTTGTTCCTTGATGCCTGATCCCTGATCCCATCGACACCTCATGATCACACAGGCTGGTGTGCTTCTTCCATGTGGACTTTGTTGCTTCTCAGCTAGATGGCTGCTTGCTTGTCTTCAAGCCTTTAAGACCCCAGATGCTATATCTTTTGATAGCCAAGCACCATCAGCTTTCTTCACCATATTTGCTTATGCACCGCATCTATTCTTTTTTTGTTTCCCTTTTTCAATGCCCAACTTTCACAAGGTTTTGGCATGATTGAAAGTATCATGGCTTGAGACAGGCACACCCTAGTCTTCAAAGTAAGATCCGTGCTTTAAAGAGATCTTGTGTAGCAGAAATATTCAATGCAATGCATCATTTGATGTCTTGACTGATGCTCCCGTGAACGTTAATTGTGGATCCAAGGAAGATGAAATCCTTGATAGCTTCATTCTTTTCTCTGTTTATCATGATGTTACTTATTGGTCCAGCTGTGAGGATTTTGCTCTTTATATTGAGTTGTAACCCATATTGAAGGCTGAAATCTTTGCTCTTCATCAGCAAGTGCTTCAAATCCTCTTCACTTTCAGCAAGCAAGGTTGTCCCAACTGCATATCGAAGGTTGTTACTAAGCCTACCTCCAATCCGGGTGCCAGGTTCTTCTTTTGCAGTCCACCTTCTTATATGACTCGCTCAGCATGCAGATTGAATACATGTGGTGACAGGATACAACCCTGATGCATACATTTCCTGATTTTAAACCATGCAGTATTCCTGTGGTCTTTTGAAACAACTGCCTCTTGATCCACATATAGGTTCTGCACGAGCACGATGAAGTGTTCTGGAATTCCCGTACTTCTCAAGGCTCTCCATAGTCTGTCATGATCCACACAGTAAAATGGCTTTGCATTGTGAACAACACACATGTAAACATCTTTATAATAGTCTTTGCTTTCATCCAAGAGTCATCTGATGTCAGCAATGTCATTCCTCTGTAAATGCAGCAGGACATACTTGCAAATACAGTGGGACAGGCATGAAATACAGAGTCAGATGGAGGCTGTGGAGGACAGGAAAGCGCATGACCCATGTTGAGTAAATAGCCAAAAGTTAACCTTAACTAATTTGGAAAGGAATCTCAGGGCTACCAGGGTTCCTAGTTTTGTTTCTTTTAAAAGTTAGGACAGCCTCAGGTTAATTTATTCATTCATTCAACAAGCATCTGTTGAATGTATAAACTCTTGGGCAATGTGCACAATTAGATTTAATAGTTCTATTTGCACATCTAATATCCATGTAATGTCCCCCTTGTGCAAACCAAAATAGATCATTTATTGTTTTTTAATCATTGTGAATATTTATGCACAAATATTGACATTCCAACAATTTTCATATTGAAAATTCAGTGACATTACGATCATCAAATTCAACCTTCACCATTATTTGTTTCCAAATTTAACCTCAGAAGCTCCGTGGCCCTAAGCAATGAGCCCTTCTTTTCCCTTCCTTCCCAGAGAATCTTCTGATTTTTAAAAAGAAAATGTAGAAGCACAGATATTTTAGCTATTGAGCTTTAATTAGTGGCTGCCTGTTAAAAATAACAATGAAATGCAAACCCATTCCAATAAGAAGATGTGAGGGACCTTCTTAAAAACAAACTCACTTGTCTATAGTCGTGAAGCATAATTTTCAACTTCTGCTCTAGAAGAGTAGACCGAAGACCAGGTCAGAGGCTCACTTTAACCTCTTGGAAATAATAATCATGAGAAGCCATCAGCTCCAACAGAGGATGGATCAAAGATGGCCTTGCATGTGTCACTGGATTAAATATATCTCTCAAAACACTTTTAACTCTACAGCTATCATTAACTATTTCAGGAAAACTTTCCTTGATTAGCAGCCCCAAGCAAACACATTCTAAAAACATAATGTAGAAAAGTATCTGCTACTCAATAATGCATTATTTATGATAGGAAAGAAAGGCATAAACAGTAGGATTGTGGTTAAGTAAAGCCTGATATGTTCTTTCTATAACTCATCCAGCCTGCTACAAGTGTCTACACAGGCTGTCTAAGGAAAGACACTTGGGAAAACTTTTGAGAACTTTGCTTTTGGGTTTTTGGGTCATCCCCCTCCCCTCCCCAAATTCACATAATTATACTTATGGCAAGGTCAAAACAACGGGGGTGGGGTGGGGGGTGGGGGGTGGGATAAAGGTTTTTGTTGTTGTTGGGTGCCGTCAAACTCCAAACCCACTGCCATCAAGTCAGTGCTGACTCGGCGTGACCCAGAGACTGTAAACATTTAAGGGAGTAGAAAGCGCAGTCTCTCTCCCATGGAGCTGCTGGTGGTTTCAAATTGCCGACAGATGTGGATTGTAGCCCAGTGTGTAACCATTACACCAGCTCCTCTGAGATGCTGTCAAGTCAGTTCCAATTCATAGCAAACCTTTGCACAACAGAACACAACACTGCTGGGTCCTGGGCCATCCCCACACTTGTTGCTCTGTGTGAGCCCGTTGTGGTAGCCACTGTGTCCCCAGTTGTGTTGAGTGCCTTCCCACTCGAGGGGCTCACTCATCTCTTGACACCGCATAAGACAATGTCCCACTGTTATTCATAAGGTTTTCACTGGCCAACTTTCTTAAAGGTCACCAAGCCCTTCTTAGTAGTAGTCTGTCTTAGCTTGGATGGCCAGCTAAAATCCTGTCCACCAGGGGTGACCCTTTATCAAAGAGATCTAAAATACCAGCAGAATAGCTTCCAGCATCACAGCAAATTACCAGCAGTATGATAAACTGACAGACGATTGTTGGAAAAATAAAGGAACTCCATCCAGTGTTGATCATTGCTAGTCTATCATGTTGTACGATTTTGGAGAAAGCCTTCTGCCTGTACTTTTCCAGGTCCTAAGGCCAATTGCCATTGAAGGTTAGAAATGAACAAGGAAGTATACTCACTTGGAAAGCAATCCGTCAGGTCCTGAAGGTTTTATGAGGTATTTATCTACTTCTTTGTTAAATAAGTAATATGGCAGCTTTAAGTGCTGGGTCACATTATGTAGGTTTAAGACATACAGAGTTAAGTCTCCTTCTTTATACCTTGGGCTAAAAGCAAATAGATTAAGTCATTAAAATTATCATCTACTTTAAACAAACAAACAAACAAAAAACCAAACCCCAAACAAAACCTTACCGCCAATGATTGGGTCAATGCTAACTCATAGTGACCCTATAGGACAGGGTAGAACTGCTCCTGTGAGTTTCTGAGCCTGTAACTCTTTATCGAAGTAGAAAGCAATTTTTCTCCCATGGAACAGCTGGTGATTTCGAACTGCTGACCTTGTAGTTAGTGGCCCTAACCACTAAGCCACTAAGGCTCCCGCATTTGTCTTAATTAAAGCAACTGAAGACTCAATTGCAATATGGTCCTGGATATTAGTATCTAAAATGATGATGAGTTCTTTCGGTGTTCTTTCATTTATAACAGTGGTTCTCAACCTGTGGGTCACGACCCCTTTGGGGTTTGAAGGACCCTTTCACAGGGGTCGCCTGATTCGTAACAGTAGCAAAATTACAGTTATGAAGTTGCAACAAAAGTAATTTTATGGTTGGGGGGGTCACCACATCATAAGGAGCTGTATTAAAGGGTCATGGCATTAGGAAAGTTGAGAACCACTGGTTTATACTATTTGACCACTGGTGTGGTCTTGTTTTGAAAACCTGATACAAACACTTGCTCTCCACATGACCATTTTCAGGACTCAGGACTCTGATCTATGCTGCTTGGCCAAACTGTATTGCCAGTCCATCAATTGGTCCCTGGATTTTCAAACATATGAGTAAAGGATAAAACATTTATTTTGTGGGTTTCTGTGAATTCAAATTACAATCCACACGAATAGGGACCTTATAAAAATGCTTGAAAGAAGTTAGAAAAGTTCAATCTATTGGTGTTTTGTAGAATTAACCACCCAAATCGCCTCCAGTGGGACCCCCAATACCCCCAAAGCTCCCACACCCTAGAAACAGGCAGAAGGAGCATTTCCGTGTCAGTCTGCCAGCAAGGACAGATTGAAACTCAGAGGAGGAAGAAAACTTCTGAGACATAGGAATACTATGCAAGCACTTGCTCTCAAAACCTCCCTGGCCTCCCACCTGCAGAGACTGTGATGGGACTTTTGAAAATAAGGTTGTTATTGTTCATCCTCTTTAATAAATTCAAGTTGTCAAGGAATGATACAAGAGGATATAAGTATAATCACGTTATTCACTCATATGAATGCATATTTGTACTCATTCATAACTATTTAACAAATTAAGTTTTCATATAAAATATGTGTAGCAACATTCTCTTACATTAATACTGTTCTGCTTTTAAATCTAGGGTACAAGGGAGCTTCCAAAGCTCGTGGAAAAATTCCATTATTTTTACTTCCATTTTCCCAAATTTTTCAAGCCCTGGATTATTGATTTTGATCATTAAAACCATTGATTAAGTCCTTTCTGGTCTGTAAATGTCTACATGAAAGCTGTATTTATTTTCAGTTAAACTCTGGCACTGTATCATTATGAATTTTAAACAACAACATGGACACATCTCAGGGCTATTGTGTAGGTGTGATAACAGCATGCCAGAGTAGGAAGTTATCTGCCTACTGATCAAGTACCTAATGTAAAGGGTGCTTTTCACACTTACTGATCGATGTTTGCGCAGTGAAGGTATATTCGAAGTTTGTTTTTGTCTGGACCTTGCACATTTGCCATTAACACCTTGGTGCCCACCAGCTTCTTGAACAGAAGAGATAGCCAATAATCCTAGTTGTGTTGGAGTGAAGCAAAACAGATCTTGCCTTATTTCATTATTTAACAAAAGCAATGTTGAGCAAATTGTTTTACTACAAAGACTGGCCGTTTGCCTTCAATTATCCACTGTCATCTCATTTTGACCCTATAACCACACCCACCCACACCGCGCAAACAAACAAACAAACAAACAAACAAAACCAACCCAATCACACTCACTGCCATTAAAGATTCTGACTCATAGCAACTCCGTAGGGTAGGAGAAAACTACCCTGTGGGCTTCTGAGAAGGCAACTTTTTACTGGAATAGAAAGCCTTGTCTTTCACTTGGGGATTGGCTAGTGGTTTCAAACTTCTGACCTTGTGGTTAGCAGCCCAACATGTAACCACTATATCACCAGGGGTCCCTGATTGACCCTATGAATGGATGCCAACTGCTCCATGGGGGTTCTGAGACTGCAAATCGTTATGAGCACAGACAACCTCATATTTCCATCGGGGAGGGGCTGGTGGGCGCGAACCAACAATCTTGCAGCTGGGAATGCAACACTTAACCCTTGCACCACACAGACACCTTGACCATCAGCCGGGGCTATTCCAATAGCATTCGCCTATTTGGAGTCCATTGTGGCTAGCTATCGAGGGCCTGGCAAGGTGCCCTCAGCACCCTCTGATCCAGTCACAGGTACAAGGAACTGATCACTTACAGGCAAAGGCTCAAAGTTTTTATCCACTAATTGGTAGTTTCCGGCTCCAAATAACACTTGTCTCATCACTACTTCGATGCCCATTCTGGCCGACAGGCCCAATTTATCCAGCCACCTGGAAGACAGAGAGAGAGAGAGAGAGAGAGAGAGAGAGAGAGTCAGCTTTCTTCAGCTTTGGAAAAGAAAATAATTTTAATTATATGCTACCCTATCTGCTCCATCTACATGGGAGGCGTTAACAGGAAACGAGGAAAATGGCATTAATGATAAAGTCACTTGCCTGAGACAGAGTACAGGGCGCTTTCCTTCACACATTGCCATTCTTCAGCATGGTAACAAATCCTAGCTGGCTGGCTGGGAGTGTCAGGGGGGTAACACCCTTCTACAAGGTGGAGTAAGTAAATTGCCACCTACACAGACAATTCCTCCTCCTGTGAGGGAAGCCCAACCCTCCCTCTGCCCGCGCTGAGGTCTGAGTGGTAAAAGTGAGATAAATAGTAATAACAAAATAATAAACCACTGCCACTGAGCCCTGGGGATACGCTCCCTCTTCCCCCTCCAGCCCCCACCATCCCACTGTTGTGAACCCTTGATCAACTATATGTTGTTATTATTATTTCGTGTCTCACACTGTCCGTTGTCTCCCTTCACCCACATTTCTATTACTCGTCCCCTTGGGAGGGGGGAGGGCTATATAATTAAAGAATAATTTAAAAAATAGAATTTCTAAACCAATTCATTCTTGCAATGGTTCCTTTAGGACACATTAAATATATCCAGCAAAGTTTAGTAAATCACTTTCTTGTAACATTTGACTCGGCTATAAACCAACGTTAATGTGCGTGTGTAATTTTCTCTTGTAAATTAGGTAGGGGTTATATTTCAGATGACCAACTTTGGATGCAGCAGTTTAAACTACTATCAGTCGCCCCATTGCTTTCTCCTCCCTTTCCCGCCCTCTGTCTCTTGGCAGTCTCCAGCGCCTGTGCCTTTTTTTTTTTTTATCGTCTTATTGGGGCTCATACAACTCTTATCACAATCCATACATACATCAATTGTGTAAAGCACA